CATGCCACCCTGCCCTGGAGCCAGCTGATTAATGCACTGAAACTGCTACAAATTGTAAGCTAAAAAAAACCTTCTCTCCTTTAACTTTGGGTGTCAGGTGTTTTGTCTCACCAATGAGAAAAATAACTAAAATACTAGATCACCCCTAGTATGCAACAAGAATAAGGCTTAGCTTGTGCATCTTGGTTCCCTCTAACCCCCAAATTTCTCTTCTTTGGCCCCAAGTCATGGGTGTATCCAATATCTCAGATCTTTATTTCTCAGTTCCTTTGTGGGCTCTCAACCACCCTCAAATTTTAGCATCCCTTAAGGTTTTGAGCCTGCTTCTCTTCCCAAGCTCTCTTTCCATGGCAGACTTCAAGTCTCTGTCTTCAGCCCTGGTCCCTTGTTGCTGTTTGGGCACAACTACCTGCTGGATTGCTCTACTTGGGTTTTCCATGAGCATCTGGAATCCAGTAGAACAGAATTCCTCATTGTTGGAAAAAAGGAAGAAAATACATAGGTACGAGCTTAACACGACTGGTTTATTCCAGAAAAAAACCTGAGAAGGGATGCTCTGGCACTTAGACAAGGCTAGTAACTCTCATACTCTCATAGGGTCAAGAAAAATTTTTTTAAAAGGTCAAAATGGGAATTTTTAGGGGGGAGGGCTCTCAGGAATTGAACTTAGGACCTTTTATCAGGCGGGCACTTGTGCGGCTGAGCTATATCCGTAGCCCAAAATGGGAATTTTGAAGGGGAGAATGTAATGGAAAGGAGTCAGGCTCCCTGTCAGGAACAAGGCATGAAAATGGACAAGGAGTGGGGGTTGCCTGTCAGGAGCAGGGCTGGAGAATGATGGGAGTGATGAGGTGTAGCTGTGCTTAGTAGGCCTTGTTAACCCACGATTATGCATCTTTAGCAGGTATCAAAGTACAGTGAGATGGAAGAGGTTTAAGGTGGTCTCTGGTTAGTCTGTGTTAGACTCCTTCCATCATCTCCCTTGCTCCTCGACTTGTAGCTTGTCTCAGGACCTGTTTGCTGAGTTTTCCAATCCAGAAACCAGAAGCCACCCCTCCATTTCTGCTGTCCTCTGCACCCCATCTGCAGAAGCTAATTGCTCCTCTAGCTGCTCCTCTAGCCTGGTGGATTCTGTCTCCTCAGCACTCTCCAAACTATGGTTTCTTCCCCACCAACTTCCCACAGCTACTGCTGGCCATCATCTCTCTCTTAGCCAACTGCAATTTCTCTGTTTAAAAGCCTTCAATATGCCCACAACACTCGGGAAAGTCCACTCCCTTCACATGGTTTATAATAGCTGCTGTATTTTTCTAGTCCCTCTCTACCTGTCAGTCCCATTTCTGATGGAACTCTGTCTTTTCATCCTAAGTGTCAGCTCTGCTGGTAAACTTGCAGTTCCTTGGTAGACAATGGTGTCCCAAGAACTTGCCCTCTGGCCAGGGATGCAGCTCAGCAGCAGCACAGCACCTGCCTGGCAAGTGGAAAGCCCTGGGTTTCATTTCCAGTATGGAAAAAAAAAAATAAACAAAAAGTCACCCATCTTCCCTGGTGGGAAGGATGAGTTCCTTGACTTCGCTGGGTGGCCACTGACAACAATTTGCCCTTTCTCCTTACTTCCTAACCAACTGTGAATCATTTCACCCAGGGAAAAAGAATCAAGTATCCATCCTTTGACTACTTAGTGTCCTTGATATCACTTCCTTCACGCTTGCACGTGAAAGACTTTGGGCCCTTGATAAAGGTATAAAGATTAAATCACAGATACTGGGGCTGGTGATTGGGGATTTAGCTCAGTGGCATAAGCACCTGCCTTGCAAGCAGGCGGTTGTGAGTTCAATAAAAAGTTAAAAAAAAAATTACAGATACCTTCAGGTCAGGATCCAAATCATATACTCCCAGGATTCCCAACAACTACAGTACAATGACCGGCACAGAATAGGAACTCAGTGAATGTCTGCTAAATGAAATGGATAGATGGGCAGAAGGGTAGACAGATGCATGGATAGCTATGTGAGAAATCTCTGGTCCAACATGGATCTATAAATTCTCTGTGATGATGGGCAGAGATAAGCCAGCCATAGTCCCTCATCTTCCCTCTGCCTTACACTCAGACTCCACTTACCTTGGTGCAGTGGGAAGAAAACAGACTTCCCAACATGACATGTGACATCAGGTTCTTGATAGGGGAGGAAAGAGAGCAGAAAATGCCAGAGAAGGTAACAGAAGTTGGAAGTGGGAGGGCAGGAGCCCAAACGCCCACTTATAACATGTGCTACGCTACCCCCAGGAGCCAGTGAGCAGCAGCCCAGAGGCACTGAGCAGAATGCACAGAGAGGAGAGGAGGGAGGCATGCTGATAAGTGTCCCCAGCTGTCTTCTTTTAAAATCCCCAACAGAGAATGTTTTGGTAGCAAACTCTGACTTCACTGTCTCTGCAGGTGTGGGTGCTGCTGGTGGGGTAGACCAGTCTAGGCACAGTTAGATATCTAAGGAGCACAGGTATCTCTGAGGAGATAAAATTTAGGCATGTGTGACATCCTGAAAGAGTTTCAGCACAATGAAGGAGACAATATAAAGTAAAAAATAGCCTTTATTCCAAGGACGCGGAGAGAACTTCATGGCCGGCAGCCTGGCTTTCTCCGTTGGAAACGTGGGACATGGGATATACAAATAATTTTCAACTGGGGTGGCACTTAGGGCAGGCATTGCTGACACTCAAGCAGCGGATTGGAATTTTCTTTGTGTGCAAACAGGAGGGGGAGTTGTAATTAAGGCTGGGGAAGAAGCAGGAAGTGCTAGATGTTCTCACTTTGGCCTTCCACCTCGTTTAGACCACTGCCATAATTTCTACTGAGGCAAGAACCTTTCACATCCCACATATGAATCATGTTTATCAATCTTTTTGTGATTTCCACACAAAGCTCATGTTATTTGTTTGCGTGGTGATAACCTCAGCTCAGACCCAAAATGCTTATTATCTGCAAATGGGTCACCTAAAACCTAGCCTATTGGGTGGCAGCATGCAGGAAGGGCAATAGAAGCAAAAGTTGAGAGATTCTGGGAAAACATCAGAGAGGGCAAGCCATGTTTGTCTTCCTTTATCTCCTAAATAGCTGCTGAGACACTTGCACTGACACAGTCTCTGGATGGACAAGCAGGGTGACCATGTATGCATACGTCGGGACTGCCTGAGACAGTTTTGCTGCCTTAGTGTAGCTGTGGGCTATCACTACATGACTCACTACCCAAACTATTCCCTTCTAATGACGCATTGTACAGTCACTCCCTTTACAAGGTGCTCTACAACCCTCTGGGAGAAATCCACGTGCGACTCCATTATTGCTTTCCTTTCCCTGGACTGTTTCTAAGAACATTTCGCAGAACCGGTTGGTGTTCCCTCACACGGAACTCTATGAACAGACCCATAACTCCAGATAGGACAACCCCAGATCCAAAAGGTAATGCAGGCTTTTGCCCTTCTATAAGGAAGTATAGTGAAACAATTACAAAGAACTACAAACACGCATGCCTATAAACACAGCGCTCAGGGGGCTGAGGCAGAAGTGTAGCAAGTTTGAGATCATCCTGGGCAATGTAGTGAGACCCTGCCTTAAAACAACAGCCACAGCCAAACCCTATAAACTAGAAGGAAGGGCTATGTTTCCATGATTCTTCCTTGGTCCTCCTATTCCTGGGAACAGTCTCTCTTGGAGATTCTTTAAGTTCTTTCAAATACAAATCCACCAGTTCCACACAAAAGGTGATGCTCCTTGCTTGGAGCAGGCCAGGATCCCTGGCTAGGGCAGAGGGGAGGAAATGGTTCCTTTGTAGAAAGCCTGGCTTTGCTCCCCGACCAGGACCTTCTGGGTCCTAGGCCCCTAGAGAGCCGTTCTGGTCTTCAGCACTGGCTTTCTGGGTAAGGCTTTCTCCTGGCCCAGCAGCAGCTCTACTTGGTGCCAGCTTTTGCATCCTCTTCCTTGGAGGAAGGGCTGTGAATCTGGTGAGGGCATGTGGTGGGCATAGTTGTGGCTAACTGCCTCAGAGGCAGCTTTCAATGACCTGGACCTGTGTGTCTTACTGAAAGTTAAGGCCCTTAGAAAAGTCTCCTTTCAAAACTGCTTCCTTGGGACAACAAGCACTGTTGGAGAAGGGAGTTCACATTTATTGTCTAACACATGCTGGGTGCTGCCAAAGGTTTAGTGCTCCCACCTCACCTGCAATGCACCACAGCACCCCTATGGCTTATGGCTCTTTTAGGTAAACCTGAGCCGGGAGCGAGTGGAGTGGGGAATTGGGGAGCAGACTCAGGGCCTTGTAAGGCCTGTTTTTCTCTGGCAACCAAGGTATGTCCTTTATATTCACCACTGGCACTGTACAATGGAGCTTTAATAGTTAGATTTTGTTTTTCCTTTGGAGACAAGTGGCTTCTCCAAATGTCCTTAGCCCTGGGGCACAGCTGGCTACTCCCACCTCTCAGCAGAGAGATGGACAGAATCTGCAGGTGCTGGGCACCAGGTCAAGTCTAGTTTCATTCCCTTGAGCAAGAGAGGGAGAGGTCCAGTTGGGGACAGGATGGGACAAGCCTGAGTGCCTATGATCTCATCGTATTCTCTCCTCTTGTCATAAAAAACCCTAACACACTTGTACCTTGGGAGATGGTGTTTTGAAGGAAATAGACCCTTCCATTTCCTTGGAGCTAGCTTTGAATATATTCTTACTTTTTACCAGGATAAACTGTCTCCTTCGATTGTGTCAGTGAAGAGCAAACTAATTGAACCCGAGCTATGCACCTAAATGACTGGTAAAACCAGGACGCGCCAATGTGAGGCCTTTCCCTTCTCCCTTAGGGGCCCAATTTTATCAAGGATCTGAGGTCTCAGGTTACAATTCTGCCTTTTTGTCTAGCCCCCAGGGAAGCCCCCACGGGGTGGTTGTCTCTCCCGGCACGCCCACAAAGCGCCCGCCTTCCGGCGTCCCCCCCCCCCGGGTCCTGGGGCTGGGGGGGCAACGCCGCGGGGCTTCGCCCGTGACATCAGCCCGGCCAGTCGTGGTGCAGTGTGCAAAGCCTACTGGTTGGTGTGGCTTGGGACACGCCTTCCGGGAGCGGAACAAAACGGCGCGCAGGCAGGGCTCACCCAAACCACCGCTTCCTACAGCGCCTGTCCCGCGCGCCGCCGCCCAGTAGCTGCCAGGTGAGTGCACCCGAGGCCACGCGCCCCAGTCTGATAGTCCTCTGGCAAGGTCCCCAGCGCCTGCCCGCGGCTAGGCTACACCCAGCGCCTCCTGGTCCTTTCTACCCCGCCGCGGCCCTGGCGGCTGTGAGCAAAGTTTAAAGCAAAGGTGACACGAGCCAGGAGGTCTTCGGGAGCAAGGAATTGTGAGACGTGCCCGAAATTAGCCTGGGCGGTGCTTCTCTTTCCGGGGAGGCACTGGGTCCCTCCCCACTCTGGGGCTTCCTGGACACAGCTGGCTTCCGCGTGTGCCTGACCCAGGGTGAGCCAGCTCTCCCCACAGCCTGCAGGTCCGACAGAACAATTGGCGATTCTGCCCGTCACTGACGCCCATTGTACGACAGAAGGATGAGGGCATGCGTGCCCCCCACTCCCTCACCCTCCTCCTTGGGGAGAAAGTGCCCGCGGGTGTAGCAAGGGAAACAAATGGCTTCGTAGGCGTAGTTGGGCATCTGTGGCCCTGAAAGCAGGTGTGTTTTCCTTCTTCCTAAAGACAGGAAGCTGCATGGTTTCACCTCCCCCACCCAGCGCTAGGTGGGGATCAATGACTGAAACCTGTGGGAGCCTACGGTGTTCTGTGGCCTCAGTCCCAAAAAACTGATACTGAACACCTTTAAACAAATTGCAGTATTTCGGGCACTTTTAAGCAAGTTGCTATATGCTACCCAACAAGCAGCCCACGAGGAAAGTATTTTATCTAGTGGCATAGGCCTGAGTGTACTCTGTGCCCTTCTGGTCCTTGGGTTATGATCTAACCAGGTTGGGTCTAGACTAGAGCAATAGTGTGAGTTCAGGCCCTCCCTAAGGTGCTGGACTCCAGCACCTACCCTCCACTCCCTAGGATGAATACTGAAAGGCCACTGCCTTGGGATGCTGTCACAGTGGCACGGAGGAAGCCTGCTGGGCTCTAATAGAACTTTCATCATGAAGAGATAGATAAAAATCTTGATGGCAGGCAGTCTCTCGGATTTCCCACTTAATACACATGTGACCATGGACAAGTGACAACTTGTCATTGTCTCAGTTTCTTTTTGGGGCTGGTGCTCTTGCTCAGCTGCTTCTTCCTGATCCCGAAGCCAGTTTTTGGCTCTGGAGGCCAGGACCACCCTTTTCAGGAGAAACTGGCCTGAGCCCTCAGCTGCTTCTAGGTGCTTCTTATCCCATCAGCACTGCATGCTGCTCAGTCTCCTAGTGAAGGAGCCTTTGCCTCCTGAGGATATAGGGGCGGGGACAGTCAGGCTGGGAAGGAAGTTTATTCTACAGAGGGTATGATGTGGCCTGGCCCAGAGGAACATGAAGGAGAACTGCCCCCAAGCCTTCCTGTCCCTCATGGAGGGTCTGGGGAGAATGCAGGAGAAAGCTGAAGAGTAAGGACTGCTAAGAAAATGTGCAAAACAGGGGTGCCTCAGCCTCTTTGCCTCTGGTCTCCCTAGGACGGGTCTTCCTGGCCCAGGTAGTTTTTTTTCATAATTGCACACATCTGCCAGGGAGCCTCATTGTGCCAGGGAATAGCCTGTGAAGGTAATGTTGACCCACGGTTGGTGATCAGTAAACATTTGGTGAATAAATGGAGTAGAAATGGGCTCTCCTCCAGATATGCCAGACTGGGAACTCATAAGCCTTGCAGCCACTTTTTCTTTGGGTAGCATTGACTGGCAGACTTTTTCTGTATTGTGGATTTCCTGCTGGGGAAAACAAATTGAGAAGGCTTTCTGGGGGTTTGCTAAAGTAAGTCTGGCTCATTATGAGAAGTTGGCTTGCTAGAGGACTTTGAAGAGGCTTGCATTAAACGTTTTGAGATTTAGTGAGAAAAAGACTTTTTCCTCCTGCTCAGCCATGTGCCACTATGCAAGTTTGTTGGCAAACATCTAGTGACACAAACATGAACAAGTGTTACGAGTGGCCTTTCCTTAAGAGAATAGTAGACAGACATATGCTCTTGCTGTTGGCCAGGACAGTGCTAAATAGTTCATGTATAACCTCTTGGATAATTTAGGAATTAAGTGCTGATGCTTGCTGTTTTATAGATAAAGGAGCTGAGGCCCAGAGGTACAAGGAATGTGCTCAGGATCTTAGCCTTTCCTGGTGGAGTTACAAATAAAATGTAGTCTGTTTCCACAACCTATTATTTTTCTTTACTCCTCTACATTTTCTCTTTCCAGTTCAACTCATTAAGGAAACAGCTTTGTGAGACACATTATCTTTACAGGATGCATCATGATGGCTTATAAACGAGTTAAAGGTGGATATGTTCCGGTCAAGTTTGGTGTGCCTGGGGTCTGTGGGTCCTGGATTAGCACTCACGAGCTCTTAAGTCTCACTCTGCTGCATGGCTGTTGGGGTAGGGGACCCTACAAGTTAGTTTTCAGATATGCCTTCATGAGATCTGATGGATGTTTGTGTTTTGGAGCCAAGTTTGCAGGAAAGAAAAGAAGCCTGGAACCTGGCCAGGTTTCTTGGGGGAGGGGTTGGAGAAGGCAGACATTAAAGCTGCTTAGGGAAGGGGAGACGGAAGGTGGGTGCTGAGTTCTGACCAAGCCTTGTCTGCTGTTTCCAGATGTCAGGGATTTATATGGTAATGACGTGGCTTGTACTACGCAGCTTCCCAGGAATTTGTCTGACGCCAGTATTGAGTAATTCCCATGTATGGTAAAGTGTGTAAATACGGAGGCAGCAAGTGTTTCCAGACGCTGGCATTTCCAGTGCTTCCAAAGACCAGAAGCAGTGTCTGATTCCTCTGTGGTGACAAGGGTCACAGCTGGAGCTCAGGAGAAGTGAGGGTGGGGGAAGGGGCTCCAGGAGGGGCCTAGCATTCTTCACACAGGGATGGTGTGGGCTGGAGCTTCCTGAGATGTCAGCTGCAAGCAACCTTTGTTTGTAGATCCTAAGTGCTCGTTTATTTTTACTTTTAAAAATTTAATCAGAGAAAAATCACTCAGACCTTTTTGTTCAGCACATGGATTTATCCAACTGTTACCACTGTAAGTTGACGTCATCCCAGACAAAAGCAAAGAAAGGCAGTCTGTTAATTAGTCTGTGAAGCCTGACTATATAGGATTTCCTGTACCAGTGTTGCAGTACTTAAAGAAAGTCATAGAGCTGGAGAGGTATGGCTCAGTAGTAGAGCATATGCCTAGCATGTGCCAGGCCCTGGCTGGGTTTGATCTATAGCATTGCAAAAAATAAAACAACAAACAAACAAGGCAAATTTAAAAAGAAACAAAAAAATTATAGACTCCCATTTCCACCTCAACATAACCTTCAGATTTCAGAATGCTTAAGTGCGGAGAGCTCTGCCATAAAAGGCATTAGGGGACGAATGGGGAGACAGAGAGATGTAACATGGCCTTAGCAGCTCAATCCTACAGGGCTACAGTGGCACATGGATTCGCAGAGAGAGGTCCTGGTTTGGAGAGAGGAAGAGAGGGCTGGGTTGACATCACAGGCAGATTCTGGGGTCCTTAGGGCCTAGAATAAAATAATCCTAGCTCAGTGATACTGGTTGATTTTTTCAGAGAGGTGAGTTATGTGCAGAGCTCCAGAGAAATCATGTACTGGGACCTACAAAGCCAAGATTGAGCTTGCCCTATTTCCCTGTTGGCCACCACAAGTGCACACCCGGAGTGGGGGGAACCATTACCTTTAGGAAAAGTCAGTTTCCTGGGGTGTCAGGTGTCACCTCAGAGATGCCAGCACTACGGGCTGTAACTCAGCAGCCTCCTCCTTTCTGTTGCATTCTGGGCTGTTCTGTGGACATGTAGGGGCGTGGGGGAGGAGGGTTGGAAAGGATGCAGCACTCTTGCATATCTGGTAGATAGTAAATAGCTCAGGCAACTGGGCAGCACATTTCTAACCAGATAAACACTTGATAGGTCTCTGCCAGAGCAAGAATGCTCATCAGTTACTCTTTGGCCCTAGGGAACAAGAATTATGGAATGAGAGATGGGATTTTTCCCACTGGTAAAATTAAGATGTGGAAGGGTTTGTCAAGGGCTTGTAAGGGGGCCCTCTTTCTGTTTATTGGTTCCTGGCAAGTTGAAGACTATATATCCCTGAGATGATTCCTTAACTTGACTTGAAGATGGCTCACCTCTACCATCTTTCAGGGCATCTGAGGTAAGCATGAGAGTTTGTCCCTTGTGTCCACTCCCTATTCAGCTGCTGTAAGAGCCGTCGTCTGGGATCTCCCTTCTCAAGACTGAGGATATGGATTCAGTGCTCAATGAGACAACTGGATCAGGAAGCCAACTCTTGCTAGTTGCTCCTTACAAGAGGCCAGTTGTTAGTGTCTAATCTCCATCCAGCTCTGAGGACTCTGACACTTCATGTAAACCACTAACCGGAGATTATGTTTCCAGTCATGCAGCAGAACTTTCGAATTCTACTATATGGAGATTATCAACACAGTGATACACACAGTGATCAACACAGTGAGGAAGGACAAACCAGAACACACAAAAATTCCCAGCAGTACGGTAACTCTCAGAAGAAAACTACTGTAGATAAGTAACTCCAGAAAATAGTAATGACTCTTGATTGCCCATAGCCATATGAAGAGGGCCTGATATAGGACTCATGTCCCTGCTTGTCGTGTCAGGTAGCGGGGGGCGGGGGGGTAGTAAGTACCAAAGAAGGACAAGTAGCTTGTTCCAGACTTATTGGCTGGGCCGACAGCTGATCAGGAATTACTGTCCCTTTTGGTTGGCCTGTTGTTCTTGAACCTTGTTCCTCTCAGATGTGGATGAGCAGGAAGGAGTGTAACCACTTGGCCCCACATCTGGCAGGATGGCATTACAACCACTTGGCTGTACCAGCTGTGCTCATGGTAGTCAGAACTATGATCCCTGCAACATGCCAGCCTGTGTGCCATCACTGCCATATGTTCTCATTCAGCCCTCAGGCCTGATTTGAAAGTTAGTGCTCCATCTTCAAGGTAAGGAACTAAGCCAGCACAGAAAGGATTCCTTTGCTTCCGATCACTGTGCCTGGAAGGGGTGCATCTGATCTGTTGGCACTCAGCTCCATTTCCTAATCACTGAATTGCACTGTTTTGACCGTAGCTTTTCCCAGGTCTCCTGTCCCCCAGAACTTCAAAGGAGTCAAGCATCCCTGTAGGCTTTCCAAACACTGAGGAACAGCTTTCCTTTTAAGGCAGTTCAGCCTCTTCACAGGCAGAATTTAGCTGTCAGAAAAAAGGGGCTAGGCAGGAGTGGGGTGGGAAGGGACAGCTGGGACTGTCCTCCATAAGTGGGTGCCCTGGAGGATCCTCATCTGGCAGAGGGAGCACGAAGCCCATCTTCAGAGCCTGCGAACCTCTTCCTAGCTGTGGACAGTGTTTCTGCTTCTTATCTGGAGGCCTAGAGGCCTTGCCTGTCGCCACACTCCCAAGAGAGGCCCCCAACCAGACGCCAGGCTCACGGGAACAGTGACCCAGCCAGGAAGCATCCTGAGCAGATTTGCCCACTGACAGTTCCTTGGGCTTTACCCATCTCTCCGCCCATGTTCCCAATTCCCTGGGGCCCCTGCTGGATGTGGGCCCCTGACGTGGGACCAGGGAGAACAAGGGGAGGCCTGTGCAGAGCTGTGGGTCTCCCCCAGAGGGAGAAGGGCTTTTGTTTCTGGGAATAAAATACTGCTTGGAACTAGCTCCCACCACGTGGTTGGGGAACTTTCCTCTCTTAGGGGTGTCCCTAGGGGCATGAGTGTGCCCCTGCTTGTTCAGGGTGATGGAAAGGGAGGCCAGAAAGAGAAGCAGCATCAGCGAGCTGTGTGCCTGCCATGTGAAGCTGTTTTTAATGGAACACAGCTCCCAGATAGTGACTGGGACTCAGGACACCTGCATCAGAATCTACTTCTGACTCCTCCATCTATGTGATAACAAGCCAGTTACCTAACCTCTCTGAGCCTTATTTTCCTTAGCTGTAAAGCAGGTATATATTCACCATCTTCAGCAAATGAAAATGAAATGGAATAATGTAGATATATTGGTGCATAATAGGAATTGCTGGCATCTTGGCTATAGTAGCTCTGTCCAGGCACCTTATAGGGGGAAGAAAACCTATGTGACCGAGTGTACTTTCTCACAGTTCCTAAGCAAAGCTGCCCTGCCCTCATGTCTCACTGGCTAGAATTGGTTCTGCCCATTCCTTAATCAGCCACTAGCAGGATGTTATATGGTCCCTGTGGTTGGCCTCCGTGGCTCAGGCTCTGTCCCTAGATTTAGGGGTGTGGCACTGAGTCACTTAGGGAGTGGCCACCTGAGTAGAATGGAGGTTCCTGCAGAAGGGAGTGGTGGCTGATGGCCAAATAGATAGTAACACACATTGGTGCTCCTCTTGAATCGCTTCCCACATCACATGTAGTTCTGCTTGGCAAGGACAGCTAGCCCCTGGAGTGCTCAGGACATCAGAGGCTGGGAATGGGGACTGGCCCCAAATTACAGGATATTGCCTGTGATTAGAGAAATCTTGCCTGTATGTGAGCTGAAGTCGGTCAGCTCAGGATATGGAAAGGGGAAAACAGGGCTGCTGCAGTGGACAATGGTTCCTCCAGTTCCTGCAGGGAAGGACAGTGTGACTCGACCTCAGTGTGGCCTCCCTAGTTCTGTCATGGCAGTGACTTCAGGCTTCCTATGTGCCTCACCCTGAGCTGGGCAGTCAGGGGCAGAACACAGGTATTAAGTCACCAGTCTAGGAACCAAGGTCGAGGAACAGCAAGCAGGGACCCGGGGGCAGTGGGGTTGTTATCAGGCAGTGGGGTCCCTGGTGGGTTCTGAGCTCCTTGAGGAAGATCTGGCAGCAGCTGTGTGAGGATGGACTAGGAGAACCTTCCAGCGAGGTCTGGCTCCAGGTTGTCGCTCTGTGTGTGTCCCATGCAGCTATAAAGTAACAGGCCTAAACAGTAGAGGGAGTTTGTCACATTGGCTAACTAGAGGTCAGAAATAGATCAAATCTGGGTTTAAGTTAATTAAGCCCATGTCCTTAAGACTCAGTTTTCCTTGTCTTTTGGTGATCAGCTTCATGCCAGGATTGTCTGTCTCACCCCGCCATGGCAACAACCCCAGAGCCCTTTGTACATCTCTGTCTGCTTGGAGTTGGGGGAGGGTACTGGCTCCCAGGAAGCTCTCCCAGAAGACAGGATGCTTTTGCTTCCATTCCAGCATTCTTGGAAGTCCCTTCTCCTCTCCCTCTGGCCTTACACAACCAGGAGCCCATAACCCTGACTAACTGGATTAGGCCCAGGCCAGAACCATAGCTGAAAGGAGACTAGTCCCCAAAAGAAAGGAGAATGTGGTAGAATCCTCGGCAAGAGGTTGTTACAACCACCTGGGGAAAGGCAAGAGGCCATCAAGCTGGTAGAGGGCAGTGGAAGAGGAATAGGGAGGAGAGGTGCCTAACAGCTGGTAAACCCAAGGGCTTGGCTCAGTGTGGGGCTTTGGGGTGATGTTGAAGGGGAACACAGTGGGATATAGCTACGGGAGGCTAACTGGCCCTTCTTGGTTCTAGGCCTGAGGTGAGAATCCTTAGTGAGGGAGATGATGGTCACATGCAGAAATGCAGAAATCAGGAGAAAGAACAAGGTAGAGAAAGGAAGCAAGTCTGGAGGGCTCTTATGTGAATCAAGGCACCTGAGATTGCAAATGTGAGTTTAGGCTTAGAGTAGAGGATAAGGCCATTGACACATGGGTCCTCATGGGGGTGACAGTAGGAGACTGGGGAGGGGCCAGGACTGGAGGGAACTTCCACATTCTAAAAATTGAAGTGGAGGGGCTGGGATTTAGCTCAGTGGCATAAACACCTGCCTTGCAAGCAGGCGGTCGTGAGTTCGATCCCTGGTACCGATAAAAAAGAAAAAGACAAAAAAAAAAAAAAAAATTGAAGTGGAAATGTATCTCTCCTCTGCTCCAGTGAAATCTTGCTGAAGACTCCTATTCCCTTGGTAATGGCCCCAATAGCAAGCAGTGAACTGGCATCACCAGTACCACCACTAGACCTTACAGCTGTTCTCAGTCTGTACACACTCACCAGTCATCTCTCTTAGGTTCCAGACTCTGTAGAGACACACCTGCTCTCAGTAGCAAGACCTCCTTCATTCACTCCTCAGCTATTTATTCAACACCTGTGTGTCAGCTGCTTGGCAGATCATAGAGGACAACCTGGCCTCTCTTCCCAAGCTGAGGCCCATGTCAGATGGGAAGCTCTCCAGTGGAGAGTCGTGCACCTTTGACGTTGACTGCTGCATGTCTGGGGAGCCTTCTCCTTAAGCCTCTGCCTTTTGGGGCAAGTCCCTTTCCTAGTGCGCTGCACAACCCACTCACCATATCATGGGATGCCACAGTACCCACCTCCTGCCCTCTGATTTTGGTGGTAGTGCCCTTCCCTTCATGAGTTTCTGTGGAAAGAGCTGGAAGGGTTGTTTTCCTCTTCAGTCATAAGTGTGTTGGAGAGGAGTAGATCCCTTCAGCTTATACACTTCCTATTTTTTTTCCTGTGGCATTTACATTCTGTGCTACTTTTTGCCAAATCAGGCACTGACCTGTGGTTATCACCTGTCTTATAGTCATTGACTTATATGTTAATAATTACTAGTCACTGTATTTCAGGCCTCTGATATATCATACCTCACTTAATCCTCAAAAGTACTTTATGAAGTGGCTTCTATTTTCATCTCCATTTTGCAGATACAGAAGTCAAAAGTATGGAAGGGCAGAATACCTTGCCTAGCATCACACATCTAATGAGTGGTTGAATCAAGATGGGGCCAAACTGTCTGATACCAGGACCCCAGTTCTGAACCAGTACATAGAGAATCACCAAGTTAGTTGAGGCCACCTGCTTTGGATTCACCTGGGGTGCTTTATTAAAAATTCAGATTTCTGTGTCTCATTCTCAGAACTTACGATTCATCAGATTTGGGGTGGCATTACAAAATCTGGTTTCTCAAAACTCTACAGCCAATCCTAAGGTACCCTAAAGTCTGAGTAGTGCCTTGTCTTCTGTGTTTTTTTTTTTTTTTCTGAAATCTTTTTTAAAGCTGTATCAGGCATATGAAAGAATGTACATGACCTACAGGTAGAGTTCAAAGAGTAATTGTAAAGGAAATCTGCGTGTGACAACCACCCAAGTTAAGAGAAAGAACTCAACCAGCACCTCCACAGCATCCCCAGTGACCCCCACCACACATCTTAGAGAGGTGATCATTCCCTTGCTTTTCTGTAATACCTTTGCTCCCCGCAGCAACAGGAGTTGTCCTCATGCGTGAACACTGCACAAATGGATTTGTGTCTCAGGAACTCTGGTTGATCAGCCTGTTTTGTGTCCACTCTCTTTGCTTTTTTGTTTGTTTGGTCCTTTTTCTTTGTGAGGTGCACCACATTGATGTAGGTTGTGACAGATGGCTCAGTGGCATCACTCTGCAGCGTCCTCCATAAAGCCTGGATCACATGCTCAGTCAGACCCTTGGGAGTGCCTACCTTGGGGCTGATAACCTAGCAGCTGCTTGGTAACCAGAATGAACTGGGAGACGGACCCCTAAGTAGCTGGAGGATGCTGAGTACAAGTAGGAAGTGATCCACCAGGACTGGCAGTCTACATGGGAGTCCTGCCTTTTGCCTGTACCACTGTCTCTGCCTCTTCTTTCATGGGCAGTCTGTGTTTCTCTGAACTTAATTCCCTTTTCTGTGTCCCTTTTCAGAATGCCGAACTGGGGAGGAGGCAAGAAATGTGGGGTGTGCCAGAAGACGGTTTATTTTGCCGAAGAGGTCCAGTGCGAGGGCAACAGCTTCCATAAATCCTGCTTCCTGTGCAGTGAGTATTGCCTGTGGCTGCTGTTACTCCCAGGAAGACAAGGACCCAGCCTGTCGCTGCCCCTACACGCTGGGGCTGTGGACACCCCAGGGAACTGGTCCCATGGGATGTAAATAGCCTGATATTTGGCTGAAGCGCAAGCTGGGAAGGGAAACACTTAAGGGCCTCTTTGTTCCCTTCAGAAGCTGCTTTCTGAGGGGTGAAGTTGTTGAGCTGGTGGGGGTGGCGGGTGTGCAGGGGCTGAGAGCCAAATTGGAAAGATCTGGTTCTGAAAACTTTCCACTGGGCTCCCTGATACACTCCCCCGCCACCCCCACCCCCTATCCCCACCCCCTTTCTGAGCTATGGTCCTGTGATTTCAGAGGAACGCACTTTTGGCCCAAAGTTTCACTAGTTTTAAGCCAAAATTATCCCTTACTAAACAGCAGAGGAGGTCACAACCTTATGGTGCAGGTCAGTGGGGAGGAGGAGAGAGGCCTCTCCTTCCTCAACCCTGTCCAGGCCACCGGCTGTCTCTCACTTGGCACCACTCTCAGCTGCAAAGGAGGAGGATGGGGTACAGACTTCACTGTTCTCCGCTCTTACCAATCTGGAAAGGGGATGCTGCAGTCACAAGCACAAGACACCCAGCAGCTGAGAGAAGTCAGGTGGACCCTGGGACCCTGACTCTGGTGCTGCACTGGCTGGTACCTTGGCAATTGGAAAAGCCTGTCCTGAGATTCCTAAGTGATGTTCATTGTGATCAGAGCAGGAGACTGTTCTAGAAGGGGGTGCAACTTAGACAAGATGTGTTTCCTTGAGAGTAGGCCAAGTGGAGGCAGTGGGATGTCTGGGTTTCCCCGGGAGGCACATTATGCATGTATGTTTGTATATGCACATACACATATGTATGCTCATTGCTAAGGGGCCTGCAACAAGATAGTGTGTTATGAAGGAGCTCTCAGGGGTTGAAGACCCAGCCCACCTGGGAGATCTAGGAAACAGTGCCTCCCATGAGGTCAGTCGGGAGATGTGATATTCCTTTGTTCCCAGGTGTTCTGACCTCCAAAATAGGATCCAGATAGACCAAAGGCCACCTGTTCACCAGATGTTCCCCAGCTCCCTACCTCCTGCAGGGCAGGGCAGTCTAAAGCCACTCAGTGCAGGGCAGCAGGGTCTGTACACCACCCAGGTCTTAGGAGTGACAGTCCCAGAGCTCTTCTGATGAATGGGGAGTCAACAAGCTTCTGTGGAACTTTGCTGGCTTCCAGCCTGAAAAGGCAGCAGCGCACAGCAGTATCCTGTTATCTGCACTTAGGGAGATTCTTTTTTGAGAGGGAGTAAGAGAAGAGATTGGTGCTGGCTGGGAAGAGGGTCCAGGATGCTGGGATTAGAAGGGCCCGTCTCTTTGCTCTCAAATATTGCTTAACCATGGACTAAAAGGGGTCAGCTGGAGCCTACTTGCATGCCTGCTGGGGAAGAGTAGTTGTTGGTCAGGTGTGGGGGCAAGTCAGGAATTCAGGGAGCAGCATTGGAAGGAAAGAGCAGGGCCTGGGGCACAGGGTGGTGCCAGGGATTAGAAACAGTTGCAAAGAGTCAGGCTGGGGAACAGTGTGGCCATGGTTATGTACCTGGCATCCGTAGGGAACAGTCATGAGTCTCTGGGGTCTTAGTGCCTGGTCAGTGCTTGGGTATCAAATCCCAAATGGGCCAGGTAGTACCGTCTGTGTCAGCATTATGTGGCATCACCCCACATGCTCATTCCTAGTGCCTGGAGCAGTGTTAGTGCGTGGTAGGTTCTCCACGAAGACTTGTTGAGGCATGGAAGGAATGTAGTTTCCTTTTTTAAGTCAAGTGAGTCATGTGCCCAGCTTGATTTCAGGGTAACCCACAGAAAGTAACCTCTGAGGGTCCAGATCTGAGTGGCCCCTCCTTACTGGCCCGGCCCATGTAGGTCCCTATAAGAAATTCTTTTGAGCATATCCGAGTTCACCTCTGAGTGGCACTAATACTCTCTTTCCAAATTTGGGGTGGGGGAAGAGCAAGAGGAAGGCTGGGATTAATGTAAGAGGCAACATCAGGCAGGAACCACCTCCTCCTAGATTTACCTTTAGCCTGGAACCAGCATCCAGAGGCCCTAGCAGTACATGTGGTAGTCTCAACAGGGCAGCCAGTTCCAGTTAGCAGAGTTCAGAGTCTGGAAGGAGAGCCCAGCCAAGGTAGGAGCTACCCTGAGACCGTGCCTGGCTCTCGGCTACAGTGAAAGTGGGCAGCCAGTCTAGGGAAAAGTAGGTCCAGTCTGTTCTATCCCTGTGGCAGTGACTGATAGACCAAAGGCTGCAGGCTTGTCCCAGGCTGTTCACAAGAGTCAGGAGCACAGAGAAAGCCTCGAAGTCTTGCACACTTGCTGATCCTTAAGCTGAAGGTTGAAGTCAGCTTTTACCCTTTTGCCCTGGGCCTCCCATGCTTGGCATATTCTAGAGGAGCTATGGCCTGCAGAAAACCAAGTCTGGATGTGAGGAACTGGGTCTGGCCTGCCCTGCTTCTGGCTAACTCTTGAGTTTTTTGGGTGGCCTGCATTTTTCTTGCAGAAGCAGAGAGAATCACCCCCTGCTTGTTTGGGGGAGCTGCCTCTTTGTATTTGAAGTATATTTTTCCACCAGTGCACTCCCTCATTTCTTTTTCTCTTAACATAATTTGATAGAAATGTATTCAGTTCTTCCTCAAATAAAAGATTTATTTGAAATTCCCCTTGATTGAATCCTTGGAGAACCTTACAAATGAGCTGAGGTCCCCACTACATCACTTGGATGGAGGTGGAAGGATAGAGGGTCTCTGTGTGGGCTGGAAAGAGGGCCATAGTGGGGAGGCTGTGACCAGTAAAGCAGGAGCACCACCTGGAGGGTATCAACTTATGGGTTTCCACTGGGCTGGTTCTGGGCCTCTTGTTGAAGAATTAGTCAAAAGAGGCCTTGTTCCCCCAACCACTCTTATCTTTGCTTTCTGTCTTGCCTCTGGTCTTGGAATTCCTAGTTCAATTTAGGTCTTTGGGGAAACAATTTCAGGCTAATTCCTGACTTCCTGCCCTAGAAGGGAATGTTGGAGCCAGTGGCTTCTTGTTCCCTCACCCTCCTTCTCAGGAGCCCAGGGGAGGTAGTGGGAGGTTCCTTATTTGGGTGACCCAGAGTTCTGGAATGGGGTGGAGACAAGGGCAGGACAAGAGGGTCCTTATTTAGCCTGAAGTCTCCAACCTGGGGCTTAGGGGAAGAAGAGCTGGCCAAGGACCCTTTAAAGGCAAGATAATGCCAGACTGCAAGGATCCAGCCTAGAGTCTTCTCTGAGGAAGGTGAGAGGCGCGGCTTCTTCAGTGGTGTCTCTAGACTTCTGGAGAAGACTTCAGAAGGAGGTGTTTGAGGACACAGTCCAATTGGGCACACCAACTTTAAGGGATATCATAGAACCTAACTGGGAGTGTAGGAAGAAGGCAAAATAAATGGCTTAAAATTGTCCCAGTAGAGTAGCTGGCATATGATCCTGTGAGGCCTAGCCTGCCCTTCCCCTTCTGTGGTAACAACTTCATATAATACTAAGAAAAATAGCAAACGTATATTATACACCTATTATGTGCAGGGCACTGTGCTAAGTATGTCATGTGTAAGTTCTTATTTGATTCTCAACCACCTTTTTGGGCAGATGTTATTAATTGCATTTACAAATGAGGACATGGAGGCTGGAAAGACAAACTAACTAGCCCAAAGCCACACTTAGGGACAGAGAGTGAGCTGGAACTTGACCTTTCTATGCATGACGTCTGACACAGCTCCCCTGAGATCTGAGGTCCACAAATTTTTCTTGCTCATCTGCCTATCCCATCTCTCTTACCCCAGGAGTCAGGAGATTCTTCCTTGTATCCAACCTCATTCCTTTAGATGGCCAGGTGATTTCTAAAGTTAGATATTCCAAATGCTTCTGGATATGCTGATTTACACCTATAATCCCAGCTAGTGAGGGGGCTAAGGAAAGATGGTCATGAGTTTGAGGCCAGCCTGGACAATTTAGTGAAACCCTGTCTCAAAATTAGAAAAAATAAAGAGCTGGAGATGTAGCTCAGGTCTCCCTAGGTGGTTGCCAGTACCCTGGACCATTGAGAAGAGGAGAAGGAGGGGAAAGACAACTAGGGGAGGATAGAGAAAGAAGAAACTTCAAATCTAGTTGTCATTAGATTGACCTGCACCTCCCTACAAAGCGCACTGAGTTGGGAACCTCACACATGCTGAACTTCTTTCCAGGGCACACGCCCCGCCCTATTTCCATTGGCATACACAGATCACAGATCACCTCCTGTCATTTCCATTGTTGGAGGCAGGAAAGCCCTGCCCTTTTTCCTTCCTTTCTGTTTTCTCCGCTCCTATTAGAACATATGGTCTCTTTATCAAGGGCAGAGGGCAGAGCTTCATTTGGCATCCTGTGGCTTGGAGTCAGCGAAGGCCATTGCCTCTGAATTCTGGGGTGTCCCACAGCTTGGGGGGAGGACTGAAGGAGACACACAGATTCGTGGAAGTGGGGTTGGCCACCTAGAATCAAGGACACAGATCCCACTCCTCTGTCCTCCAGCTCTTTGATTATGCAACTGGATGCCATTTCCACATCCCTTCCTCAAGGTTTCAGGGTAGTACATATATAAAGTGCTAGGAGAGCTCCAGCTGCAGGGCACCCAGGGAGCAAGCTGCTCCTCCCAGCTGCATCTTGCTATTCCAATGTTCTCTTCACAGTGGTCTGCAAGAAGAATCTGGACAGCACCACTGTGGCCGTGCATGGAGAAGAGATATACTGCAAGTCCTGCTATGGGAAGAAGTATGGGCCAAAAGGCTATGGCTATGGGCAGGGCGCAGGCACACTGAGCACTGACAAGGGGGAGTCACTGGGCATCAAGCATGAGGAGTGAGTACAAGATCGTCTACCACCTTTTCTTGGTTTTTCTTCCTTGAATTCCCACTCCCCCCATAATGGATACATTCTAGGCTCAGAAAGCCTGGCCAGCTCCTTGTCTCTTGGGGGATGGATGGAATTTTGGGCCATTTACCTAGTTTCAGCCAAGATCATTGCCCCTTGGGAATGCTTGGTCAGCGCATTTCTCCAAGAAAGCATCTGATAACAGACCAGCTGCAGAAATGAGGGGTCAGGGAGGGTGATTTTTAACAAATGGGGTATTAAATGAGTTGAGAAGTGTGCTTCTTCAGTGAAGCTGATATTGTGCTAAGCCTTAATCTGTCCATTGGTAATGTAGGAGAATGACCCAGGCAGGACTCCCTGGTGGCCTAGATTTTGTGACTCTGGAAAGCTGCCCCCAGCCCTGGCATGGTGGAGTTGGGGTGGTGTCTTTGCAGTGCCGGCTTGTGGTATTTGTGAGTATGTCATCTCACCTCACGCCGTTTCCAATGCAGAGCCCCTGGCCACAGGCCCACCACCAACCCCAATGCATCCAAGTTTGCCCAGAAGATTGGTGGCTCTGAGCGCTGCCCTCGGTGTAGCCAGGCAGTCTATGCTGCAGAGAAGGTGATCGGGGCTGGGAAGGTAAGGTGCTACTGGGCACAAGGGGAGAGGGGAGAGACCTTCCTAACTTGTGGACTCTGGAATTCTGCCTGAGCACTGAAATTTATCCTTCCATCTGGAGAAGGTGTAACTCTGTTCCTGAGGGTTACTTATCCAAGTTTCCAAGAAGCTCCTATTACTGATGAATAGTTATACCTCCAACATTGTTGGATTGTCTATAGACAGTTCACAGGAAGTTGCAAAGATCAGTCTGTTCTCTAGAGCAGAGCTTAAGGTGTGTTGAAATAGTTGCAGAGGGTCTGCAAAGTCCCTCAAGTTACTTGCAAAGTTTTGCAGGTGTCTCTTTCAGAAGATACACAGCTCTCATCAGATTTTTAGACCCCCAAAATTACTCAAAAATATATTTTCTGTTTCAAAGGATGGGTTCCCCCAGAAACATATCCATACAACCCCAGGGCCGAAATTTTTCAAGGTTTAGGCCTGTTAGAGCTCCCAGGGAGAATTTTTATGCTGTTTATAATTGCCATACCTGCCCTTCCTCCATGATATTCTGATAGCGGCCCCCAATCACCAATGCACATTAAGAATCACCATAGCAACTTGACTATTGTAAACAATAGCCATTACATCCTTCATGTAGGCTGCAGCAGAGAAGGCACAGAATACATGTTTTAAGGGTTCATAGTCTCAGACCTCTATGAACATCACAGAAGAAGTATCTTTAATAAACTGTGGCCAGAGAAGGCTTGTTGATCACACCAGGCCTCAAATGGAGGAGTGACGTGGCCAAGATCACTCAGCAAGCCGATAGCCCAGATGGTCTTTGAATCTATCTCTAGCTCCCTGGAATTGAGCCTTGGCTTTTGTGGGTTTTTTTTTTTTTTTTTTTTTTTTTTTTTTTGTACTAGGATTCAAACTCATGACCTTGCACTTGCCAGGCAGACACTATATTGCTGAGCTATATGCCTGGCCCTGCTTTCAAAGTTTTTGACCTTAAAGAAGGTGATTAGGAAGAATGGGACAAAAAGCTAACACTTAAGCTAAGACTAGACCGTAGTGGGATCTCAACCCGCACAATCACAGTTGGAGATGGGAATTATTATCCCTGTCTCACAGACTCAGCAGGATTGAATAACTGGCCCAGATCATCTATCTAGGAAGCAGCTAAGTCAGGTCTCCTCCAGACTGGAGAGTTGGGTAGTGGTCTCTGCCTGATAGAGGAAGTGGCTAGGTAGTAATTTCTCCAGATAGAGGAAGTGAAAGCTGGTTGACTGTTGAAACCACACAGGGAAGGGAAGTCTAAGACCCAGGCTTCCCCCCAGCTCCCTGAACCTCTCTGCTGTCCCTTGAACACATAAGGAGGAGGCAGTAGACAAGGTCAAGTGACCAGGAACCCCAAAGAGATCAGCTTGCTTTCTCATCCTCTAGTCTGGGTAGCTCCAGCACACTGGGTAGTTGTTCTGAGGAGGTTTTGCTGCCCTTAAAAGGCATTGTTTTGCCCTATCTGGCTGCTGCCTGCTTCTTACTTTCCCTGAGTTAGCAGAGCTGTCTACACATCAGCCTTGTGGCCTGCTGAGCAGCTGCTGATGGAAGCCAGCTGTGGAGAAGCTGCATTCTCTGTGGAGTCCAAGCACTGAACAAACCTGGGCTGTACCTTTTTCCCTGGGAGACTGTCCTGTGTGACCTTGGGACACCTCTTAGAACCCCAAAGGGCCTTCTGGGCCCCTGAGAAGCTACATTCCTTGGGCCTGTTCCTGCCAAGTTCAGTGCATTGCACAGACCCATGACCCTTCCAGGGTCATACTGGGCAGCACTGACTCAGGGCTTCTCCTATGCCTGGCCCTGTGGGTGAAACAACACTAGTCCAGTCACTTAACTTTGACAGCTACCTAGTTATGGCCCCCTACTGTCCAATGAGGCTCCCAGTTCTAGGGTTCCAGGGGCCAGGCTGGTGCAGGACACCCCCTGGCTTTGCAGCCAGGCACCTGATGTTGAAGTACTGAGTCCACATATCCATACTGCTCAGTGGACAAAGAGGTGTCCCAGAGGACATCAGGGAGGCTGTTCCCCTAGTGTGTGGCAGTGCCAGGACAAATACAGAGTCCTGGATGACACCACTAATCTGCAGCTAGAATGGGCTTGTCTGGTCTTATCTCCGGGCTAGCAGCTGCCTTTGCAGTATAGCTGGTGCTACTAACCACTGTGAAGCTTTGTTGCAATATACCATGGAAGGCAGTGTGAGGCATTTTGGGCTTGGTCCCCAGCCTGCTCCCCTCATGGCCCATCACCATGCAACCCTAGCAACCCTAGCCCAGAAGCAACCCTAGCCCAGCAGACTTCAGAAGTGCCCTTCCACCATGGATCTATCAAGGGGCGTGGGCTGGAGTGTGGGTTGTTGTAATCGCTGGTGGGCCGCAGCTTTAACTCTCTCCTTCTTTACCTAGTCTTGGCATAAATCCTGCTTCCGATGTGCCAAGTGTGGCAAAGGCCTCGAATCCACCACTCTGGCAGACAAGGATGGTGAGATTTACTGCAAAGGTGGGTAGTTTCACTTCTGGTTGAAGATCTGGAAGTCTGAGGTGACAAGGGAACTAAGCATTTAGTCCTTTGCCGAATCTGAACCAGTTTCTAGCCTTGGAATCTAGAAGTCACAGCATCTAGCCTGACTCCTTCACATCACAGGTGGGAAAGGGAGTCCAAAGGAGGAAGCAACTAGGGCAGAGTCAAATGAAAAATTAGGGTGGGGCAGGGCTATGGTTTGGGCTCCTGAGTTTCAGTCCAGTGCTCTTCAGCAGATAATGCTCCTTCCCTCAGTTCTATGCAGGGGCAATGGGCATAGGGTGGAGTCAAGAGTCTACTGCCTGCTGAGAATAGGCGGGGGGCACTAGTGGACCTCCCGTCTCCAGAGACCTGGCATGGGTGTGGCAGGAATACCTGCAGGATTGAGCAAATATCCTTACCCTTCTCTTCTCTCTGCAGGATGCTATGCTAAAAACTTCGGGCCCAAGGGCTTTGGCTTTGGACAAGGAGCTGGGGCCTTGGTCCACTCTGAGTGAGGCTTCCCACCACTGCCTGCTGCACCCGCCTGCTCCTGTGCTTTCCAGCGCCATTTCCTTCCAGCTGCCGTGGATTCTGCCACCAGGATTCTCTCACTCAGCCCTGCTGCACATCACTAATGACTTGAACTTGGCCTCTGGCTCCCTTTGGTTTGGGGGTCTGCCTGAGCTCCAGTCCCACTAAGGAGCTCTCCCCTGCTGGCATCTGACACCATCACCAGTTGGAGACATCTGTCTCTGTAGTCTTAAATGGGACCAGGCTCTCTCCCCACACCACACTGCACAGACCCCAGCCTCTTCCATGTCCTCAGCTGGCCAGGACTCCTGAGTCCCCACGTTGAAACCCAGAGGAACAGACAGCAGTAACAGACTGGCCCGAGGAGGAGGGAAGCAGGGCTGAGATGGGACGAGAGGAGGTCATGGTTTACTAGATCCCAGAGATGCTTCTCTGTGGGAAAGGGGGTGGGTTCCTTGGTGCCTCTCAGAAAAAGCCTGAGCAGTCCTAGCTTAGAAGTCACTCCATCATGGGGCACAGAAAAAGCCACTTGCTTCTCTAGGCTTTTGCCTTTGAGTTACTGTGGAACTGGTGTCCTCCCTTTTGTCCATCCCTCTGGAATGTTTTGGAGAACATTCCAGGTGTGGGGACCCAAGACAGGAAGTTGCCTGACCTCCTCAGTCATCTAGTTCCCTGTTTGATGGAGAGAGATCAGAATGATTTACATGTGTGTTTATTAGTGGTCCAAAGCCTAGGTCCATAGCCTGGCCCTAACCTTGGATCTGAAGCTACAGGAACAGCTCCTCCCTGTCCCTGTTTCAGTGCAGCCCAGATCAGTGCTCTGCTCTAGCCATGCCTGATAGAATATTCCTCAGATGTGGAAGGAGGCAGACTTACCCTTCACCTTCTAATACCCCTTTCCTTCTCCAATCATGGGGACCTCCCCCATAGCCTGGACTCTGCCCCTTCTACCCCATTCTTCTTTGGGGAGCCTCTCTAGCAACAAGGCCCTTCTTCCTTACAAGACCCTGGTCAGGAGCAGCAGGTGGAAGGAGGGACCTGGTCTGTATTCTCCCAGTGGCTAAAAGGTCAATACTGTAGCTATCAACTGCAAGGGCCACAGGCATGGGCTGTACTCAAGCTGATTTATCATCTGGTTAATAAAGCTGTTTCAAACTCTGATGTCTCTGTCTGTGGAGCACGGCCACACACTGGGGGATGAGCAGGAAACTGAATTCCAGCAGTCACATCCGAAGGAGGCCTAGGAAAATGAATCAAAGGGGATTTTCTCCTTTTTGTGGTTCTGGCTGCATTTGAGCTCACTCTATAATCCAAACTGGTCTTCAACTCATGATCCTCCTGCTTCAGTCTCTCAACTGCTGTTACTACAGATGTTTATCACCAGGCCCAGCTTGCTCCTGCTTTTTCTAAGGACACCTTGCTTTTCAGTAGCAGTACTAATGAAGGGACCCCAGCAACAGCACAACAGTGCCTTGCTTTGTCTGGCTTCACACATATCTGGACATGGGAATTGTTTACACATTGGCAATAAAGGGTCTCAGTCAAACTCTGCTTATATCTCCCAGCTAGGAAAGTCCCAGTGTGAAATGGAAACTCGACCAGAGGAACTTTCACATCAAATCCGGAAAGCTCGCTTCTGCCTAAGAGGCTAGGGGTGGAGGGCCTAGTTCAGCGTGTTGCACTGTGACACCCCCCTCCTCAGTCCACAGAAGGTCAGACTTTTCCGAAACAGCCCCATCGAACAGGCAGCAGTAGCAGTGTCCTTTGTTCTACCAGCACTTGGCTGATGCCTTGAGGCAGGACCTCTTTGCTTCAGTCCTTGAAAGTGTGTCCACGCTGTGGATTTTCCAGGAAGCCTTCGTGGGCACCCTGTCCAGCTGACCAGATCAATAGTGGCTTTGACAGAACCCTGCCCTCCTCTAGGAATGAACACACACCTGTGAGATCAGCCAATGGCGCAGAGCAGTAGCAAAGCGCAAGGTGACAAGTGAAAGCTGGAGTCCCAGAAGGGGGCTCAAGGTCTCCTTGAACTTGGGCATCTTCCTCACCTTCATCCTATCAGTGGATCCGACCCACGGAGGGCTGTGCGAGAAGTCAGTAAGCCCAAGAGAATCAGTGGTTTCCAAAAGTCAGAAAAATTCTTCCGTTCCGGGAGGGGCCCACAGAAGTGACCAACCGCGGGCGCCTCTGGGCCCAAGGTGGAGTCGGGCAGCCCTCTGCTGGCTGCTCCGCGGGCAACAGGTCCAGTCCCCTTTCCAGCCTCGGCTCCTCTTGCGGTCCCACTGTGGGACCTCTGCCCTCCCAGCCCGGCCCCTCGGTGGAAAAAGGGCCAGCCTGCGGCTCCAAGGAGTGAAGCCAAGGCCAGCGTCACAGGCTTCTGGGCCGGGAAGCGTCCGCCAGGCACGGAAGGGCTGGGCGGCTGGGGGCGGAGCGGGGCGGAGGGTGCGCCGCGAGGAAGAGGAGGAGGAAAAGGAAAAAGGCTTGGGATCCGAGAGCGCCGCGCCCGCGCTGGGCCCAAACACCAGGTGGCGCTGTGGGACCGACGCGCGAGGCCGCGCGCTGTCCACGCATCCACGCGTTCCTGCTCGCCCCAGGGTCCGCAGGACTCTGCTGTGGCGCACTAGCGCGCGCGTCCCGGAGGCGCCTGCTCCCTAAGGCTGTGCGCGCTCTCGTAGCCCGCTGCTCACCTATGGACTGACCCAGAGGAAGAGAGCGAGCAAAGATCTTGACGTCCATGTGGGTTTCCTTTCGGGTTCTTGTGTCTCGGAGCAGGGCCTCCGTCAGGGCGCCTTGAAGGGAACGCATGGTGGTAGCAACGCCCAGGTGCGGCAGTGGCTCTGAGCTTCTAGGGTGTGATGAGAAAGCTCTGTCCCTCTTGATGAGTGGCGGGCCCAGCCCTCTGCCTCCTCCAAGAGCCTTAGCAATCTCTTTGGGTCACCTGAGAGGCTGGGGGAGGAATAGGGATTCCCAGTAGGAGCCTGACTGCAGGGTAAGGACAGAGATGGAGGAGGGATCTGGGTGTTATAGCTGCTATCAGGTGAGTAATGTCCTAATCAGCAGCACAGAAACTTTCGGCTGGGGTAGAAACCCAAAGAGGCCAGAGACCCCACAGCTAGACCTGTTGAGGGTGTGGTAGTCAGAAGAGAGGGGTGAGGAGCCCTGAGGGATTCCTCCCTGGATGGTTCTGCCCCCTTGGTCCTCTCCCCTAGTAACGCCCCCCCCCCTGCGCCCCCGCGCTCCTCTGGACACTCCCCACCTCTACACATGCCCTCTCTCCCACCCTATCTCCTGGCCTTGACTCCAAACCCACTCCCTTCTAGAGTCCTTGAGGGAGAGGAATCTTTTAAAATGGATTCTCAGGGCCGGAAGTATAACTCATTGTCATAAGCGCCCGACTGGCAAGCGCAAAGTCCTGAGTCCTGTTCCTGATTTAAAAAAAAAAAAAGGATCCCCTAACTCCACCCGTAGATTCTGATCAGGTTGGCCTGGAAATCTAGATTTGGAAATCTGTATTTGAAAATTCCTAAGGTGATTCTGACATTCAAACTCGGTCAGGCTTGAGAATCTGTGGGCTCCTGCAGCCTCTCACCCAGGGAGACCCCCACTCCCACCCCGAAGCTCACCTGCCTGAAGGGATAACCACTAGGGATGCTCAGCTTAGCCCCCACCTGGCCCCTAGGGCTGCAGGGAACAGTTCTAATGATTCCAGAGGACTTCTCAGAACTTCCTATTTCTGTCCCCTCGAGTCATCCAAGACAGGTCTAATCCCTGTCCCGGGTGACAGGCTTCAACGATTTGCAGACAGCTGCCTCCAGCCTGAGGCTGTTCTCAGCATGAACATCCAACACCTGCTGGCATCTCAGTGGCTCCCCAGGAGCCCAGAGAGTCCTTTGTATTATTTGGGGAAGAAAAAGGAGATTGGGAAGGTGGGGCTGTAGCTCAGTGGTACAGCAAAGACTGTGGATTTGTAAGTAGGGCAGAGCAGAAGCAGCTCCATCTGGGAAAGACCTACACCCTGCATTCTCCACCCTTGCCTCCTTGTTTTGGACATTTTTTCGTCTAGTAGGATTACTTGGTACCAGAAACTGTGCAAATATCTTACTATATGGATTCATTTGATCTTCACAATAACCCAACAAAGCAAGGACATAACTAACTTTACAAATGATCAAACTAAATCTAGGAACCAAGAACAATTCAGGAACTAACTTTAGGTCAAATAGCACAGCAGGATCTGCAGTAGCCGCTGGCCCATGAGGCATCCCTGCCCTGCTGTACTTAACACTGTCAAGAAACTGCCATGTACTAGGAGGGATACAGGAGTGGCTCTGGGACAGTGAGCTAGGCCCTCATTGCAGTAGCTAACACTTTTTAAACATATGGTATATGGTGGACACATAAGCACTCAGAAATAGTTACAATCCCCTTTATCACAGAAGAGGAAACAGCTTCAGTGACTGTGACTGGTGCAAAGTCACTGGCAAGTGACTGAGCTGGGATGGGAACCAGCTGTGGGACTCTGAGCCAGCCTCTTCCCCTCTGGGTGTCAGCTCCTCATTTGTGCAATGAGAATGTTGGCCTCAATTAGTTCTGGGGAAGTGCTTCTCAAGCTGTAATGAGCGTTCACATGTGGGGATCTCATAAAGTGCAGATCCTGGTTCAGTAGTTTGGGTGGTGCCTGAGACTGGATGGCTCTCACAAGCTCCCAGGGAAGGTGGTGCTGATGCTGCGGATCTTGGGACCACACTGGAGCAACCAGACTCTGGAAGACCCACCCAACTCTGATGTTCTGAGTTTATGGGCCCAGGAAGAGTCGCCCCAAAGGCCATGAAAACCCAGGAAGCAGATTAGTGTGAACAAAGCTTTTAGTGGGCATTTTCTGTGCCCAGACAAGCCCTGGATGCCTCTTCTGAAGCACCTGCCCCTGAGCCTGCTGTTTCCAACCTATTGACCTCAGCCTGACCTCCAGAAGCTTCAGAGGCTTGGTCCTGAGCCAAGGGGAGTTGTTGCCTCCTTAGAAGAGTGAAGTCCCCATGCCCCTGCCTCCTAGGGGCACCAGCTAGTCCCCAGGCAGCCACAGTGGTCCTAGAGAACTCTTCACATATATTCCCATCTTATGGGCACAGAGTAGGGTTAAGTTTCTCCTCCTTCTTTGAAGTTAGATGGGGACACATGGCTTGCTGTGGTGTCTAAATTGAGATCAAAGTGACTCATGTCAGTTTGTACAGAACTCTTTAAGAGCTACCATATAAGTCCTCATATTCCCTTTTCCCCTTGCAGGAGGGCAGAAGTAGGTGTCAGGATGGAGCCTCCATCAGCCTCGATCAGTGTGTATCACACTATGCAGAGCCTCCCCTGCCAGCCCAGGGCCTTGCAGGGGATGAGTGGGATAGCATTGGTTTCAGGGAGTTCATCCATGTAGCAGAGCCCAGCTCATCCTGGCAGTGTTTGTACCAGTGTCAGCCATGACCTGAATATGTTACCTTGGCTCATCAGTGTCCAGTGCTGGAACCCATCTTTATGCCACATCAGGACTGTGGATGTCAAGGATCCAAGTCTTACCTCTGAATCCTTCTTCCATAGGTGGGAACATCTTGCTGAGGGCAGAGGGGGATCCCCTGAGGGTATGAACCCCAATTTTCCCTGTCCTTCTGGTCCCCATGAAGGGAACTTGTTTCCACCATTCATTTAGAGCCTGGCCCCAACCCTGGCTTGCAGAATGCTTAGTGCGCATGATAGGACGTGCTCTGAAGTCCCTGTCCACGGGTCTTCCTGTCATTCGTGTCTGAGGGTGCACTGTGAGCCTTCCTCCTCTTCTCACCTGTTCCTTTCTCTTTGACCCTGTTCTCAGGCTGGGTGAGTCACAGCCTCCTTCTCTGCCTGACCTTGAGAATGCCACTGCATAAGAACTTCCCTATGACCAAAGTAACATGTAAGAATTCATAGTTCTCACAAGCTGGGATGGTGGTCCATGCATGTAATCTCAGTACTCAAGAGACTGAGGCTGGAGGATCTGAAGTTCATGGTCAGCCAGGATTACATAGTGAAATCAAAGCTGTTCTGGACTACATAGCATGATCTTATCTAAAAATAAAAAAATAAAAAAGAAGGGAAGAAAAAAAGATTCTTCATAGTTTTCACTATGAAACATTTGAAAATCA